CTTCCTCCTCCTCCTCAATCATCATCTCATCATCATCATCATCATCAGGCATTATCATCATCAGCAGCAGCAGCAGCATCAGGGTCCCATCATCATCATCATCATCTCATCATCATTCTCATCATCATCATCCATCATCATCATCAGGCATCATCATCATCATCCATCATATCATCATCATCATCATCATCATCATCATCATCATCATCATCATCATCATCATCATCATCATCATCATCATCATCATCGTCATCGTCATCATCATCATCATCATCATCATCATCATCATCATCATCATCATCATCATCATCATCATCAGCAGCAGCAGCAGCAGCAGCAGCATCAGCATTATCATCATCATCAGGGGGAGCGGGGAAGAGCAGGCGGGGAGGCGGGGGACAGTGAGCAGGGAGGGAGTAGGGGGCCAGATGAGAACCCCACCGCACCCCAGCGGCGCGGTTGGCCCGGTGGCATCGGGCGCGCGTCGGAGGCACCCCGCAACAGGGGACGACAGTCGTGTCGACAGGCCGGGACCTGAAGCCGCACTGCAGCCCTCACTGAGCGGGGGTTTGTCGCCCAGGGAAGCCGACATACAATGGAAGTACAGGCTTGGCGGGCACTGAACAGGGCGGGCCGCTCTGTCGAAGGCAGGCATGCACGACATCGGGGCTGCTGACAGGCTACCGTTTTGCAGCTGGCATGGCACCATCACGCCAGGCAAGCTGCACCCAAAATCCCGCCAGCCCCATGGGCGACAGGCGGTCTAACGATGTCGTTCTCTCCGTTTCCACAACCCCTTCTTCCCCTTCGGGGAAAGGTTTATCACTATTCCCTAAGAGTATACACCCCCTCCCCCAGGCGACCGGCAGCCAACCAGGAACCATGAGGGCACCCCCCCCACCATCCCTGTCAACCCGATGCGCCACCTGTCAACCCATCCCTGTCACCCCCCACCATCCCTGTCAACCATCCCCCCCCTCACCATCCCTATCAAAAAACAGTACAAAGTACACCTTGGGACAAAGTCTTGAGTCATGTTCGTGCACATTGTATTGTTTGTGACAGGGACGGCGGAAGTGTCAGCATATTCCCTGCTGCGCGCAAGGCGACCATTCTCTACAAAAAAGCAATACAAAATGCACCTCGCGGCTGAATCTGGATCATGCGCGGCCACCCCGCGATCACTGTCAAACGGTTTTTGACAGGGACGGCGGGGGTGGTGGCGTATGGCCTGCTGTGCGAAGGCCAACCACAATGATGGACAATGATGGGGCCGACTGTTTCCCGATGTGTGCTGTCACGTGCGCAAGCGCACATGACACACTCTGCGCGTGCCCCGAACGTGACGCACCTGGCGCGGCTGGAGTATGCGGCACACCTGGCGCACGCAGAGCACGTAGCGCATCTGGCGCACCAGGCGAGCCTAGCACGCTCGGGCCCCAGGGGTGCCTGGCGCGCGCGGCGCGCCTGGCACGCGTGGCGCACCTCGCCCCAACGTCGCACACATTTGGTCGGTTTTGGTTCCCAGTAGCTGCCCATCCAAAGACGACCGCTGAACATGCTGAGGCTCGGGTGTTACTCATGTGTTGGGAGGGCGAGTGGGAGTGAACTAGACGGCTTGCTATCCAGGGGGTGTCTTGACCCCTCCCCCGACCCCCTCCCCTGGACCTAGACGGGGGGGTTCGCGAGCGGTCAGAGGGCCCTTTTTGGCCCAAGGAGGCTCCAAGAGGGCCCCAGAGAGCCCAGGCTGGCCTCCAAGATCGCTCGAGACAACCCAACATGGCTCAAGATAGCTAACAACATGCCTCCAAGAGGCCCCAAGAAGGCCACAATCCAAAGGCTTTGGACCCCTCAGGACCTCCCCGAGAAGCCGAAATCCTTCAAAAACCTAGGGGAACCAATGATTTGGGCATTGTCGCCGTTTCGCTTCCGATGCGGTTTTGAAGCCTCAAGACGGCCCCAAGATGGCCCAAGAGAGCTCCAAGAACGGCCCAAGAGGCCCCCAAAATGGCCCCCAAAGCGCCCAAGATCGCCCCAAGAGCGCCCCAAGAGACTACCTCGATGGCCCCGGAGGGGCGACGAGAATCGAGGACCCCCCATCCTTTGATCGATGGTTTACAAGATGGCCCCAGGAGGCGCCCCATAGCTCCCAAGAGGGCCCCGAAAGAGCCCCAAGAGAGCCCCAAGAGGGACCCAAGAGGGCCCCAAGGCGCCCCAAAAGAGCCCCATGAGGACCGCAAGACCCCCCAAAGAGCCCCAAGAGGGCCCCAAGATGCCTCAAAAGAGCCCCAAAAGGATCCGAAGACGCCCCCAAAAAGCCCCATAGCTCCAAGAAGGCCTCTGGTGCTCCAAGATAGCCTCAAACATGGCTCAACACGTTCCTCCCCCTCCTCTCTTTGACCATTCTGTTTTCACCATATGCGTCTCTGCTTTCCACTTCTCGTCAGCTCTCGTGGGCATGACTTCTGGATGGGCCGGTGGGGATCCGCGAAACGTAAACAATTCAATCCAACTGCTCGCCCCGCTGGAACCAGCGACGCCCACATCCTCGTCCACCCGCCTCCACCGCAAAGGTGTCGTCTTCGCGCTCCAAGCATGAGCTGGCCCAGCCGCGTCGACGATCACCCCGCGAAGCGGTCGCGCCTGCCGTCGCGGCAGCGCCTCGGCACCGCGCGCCACCCCTCTGCCCTCGCGCACGGCGGCTCCGCTGGTTCCGCCGGCTGCGGCGGCGATGGCGGCGGCGACGGCAGCGGCGGCGGCGGCGACGGCGGCCTCCGCCCTGGCGGGGACCGTCGGCGCGTTCCCACCGTGGACCCACGATGCTGGCCATGCAATGGCCACAGCAGCGCAAACATTGTCATCGACGAGTTCCCCGTCGTGTTCGCAGACCGCCGCAACATGCAACAGCGACGCTGCGAGAACTGCAGCGACGGAAGCTACATGCATCACAGAGAGAGACCCCGCCGCGGCGTCGGCTCCCTGGCGGCGGCCCCGCGGGCAGGGGGCAGGCGCGCCGCCTCGCGGCGCCGGGCGGCGTCGCGAGGCGGGGGGGCCGCGGCCGCCGGGAACGGCCCGCGGCAGAAGAAGCCGGCGGGCCACGGCAGAGGGCCGGCTCTTCGCCCAGCGGGCCCGCAGATGGCGCCGGGCAGGCCAGCAGCGAGCCGCGGCCTCGTCGCAGCCCCGAACTCGAACGTGGGAAAAGAATCATACACAACACAAACACACACACAAAGACACACACACACAAAACACACAAAAAACACGTTCAACTCCGTGTGTGTGTGTGTGTGTGTTTTTTCCCACGTTCAACTCCGCCAGGCGAGCGGCGTCGCTGCGAGTGGCACGGGGGCTCCAAGGCGGCGGCCGCCGCCCGCCAGGTCTCGCCTGCGCCGCGATTCCACGCGCCGCGCGCGGTGCCGCGGCATCAGCCCGGGCGCGGCGCGCTGCGTCAAGGAGCGCGGCATTGGCGACCACCTCGCCGCGCCCCGCGAGCTCCGTCCGCTTCAACTCCAATGAATGGACGATTCGCGCAGTCGGGCCTCAGGGGCTTGCCGCCCATCTCTGGCCTCTCGCAAGAGGCGCCGCTAGGCGCGACGCCACCCCCCTTCGGGCGCGCTGCATGGGACGGGCCGACTCTGCCTGGGTTCGACCAACGCAGCATTGATCACCCCACCCTTGAGCCAGGGAAGCACAAGGCTGCGGTCGTTGCTCGGGCGGTCGCGCAACACATCGAAGCCCTCGACCGGGTGGCCGAGCACGCGGCTGACCGCGAAGAAGTAGAGCTTCACGCCGCACTGCGCACGGAAGAAGGCGGCCGACATCTGCGCCGCCGCGAGCGCGCCCGCCCAGCCTCGACCACCAGATCGCCGGGCTCGACGCCCCAGCCGCCCCCGACACTGAGCCCGCTCGCGCCGCGGAGCGCATCAGGCAAGCCGCCCACGATGTCCGAACTGAGGCCCGCCAGCCCGGCACAATCCTGATGGCACCCTGCGACCAGAGCGCCTTACATTCTCCAGGCATCAAAGCCCGCCGCGCCCAGGCGCAGCGCTGCCAGTCCTTGCCGATGTCCGCGGGGACAGCCCCCGCTGACTCGGCGACGAGCTGGGCCGCGCCCCCCGAGGACCGGGTCTCCGCCTGGCCTGCAGGGGCCTCGCACCTCATCCGTGGACCGAGCCGCGCCCCGACCACCTCTGTGAGCTCCCCGAGCTGGCCGGTGAGGACGTCGCAGACCGCCGCCAGGGCCTGGTCCAGCGAGGCGAGTCCTGTTGGATGGCGGCCCTTTGGCTCCAGCCCACGGCGTTCGGGCCTGCGGCTTGGCCTGCACGCTGGGTGCTGCATGGTGCGGGGGTCGATGCGTCCTAGCATGTGCACTTCCCCTGCAGCACCAGCAGGTCGCCCTGCCGGCGCACGTCCGTTGGTAGCCGCTGGATTTTTACGTGCGGAGGTCGCCCGACCTGCTCCCCCTTTGCACTTGCTTCCACGGCCCGCCTTGCCACGGGCGTTGCTGCCCTCACCTGCTTCGCTCTCGGTGCATGTCCTTGTCCTTGCCGCGTGGCATGACCAAGCCAAGACTGCAAGGGAGGTACGGTCGCCGAGCCGGTGCTATGGCGGGCGGTGGCTTCCCCAACGAAAACGACCATCCAACGGATCCGCGTGGACAGGATGATGCCGCAGATCAGCGGTATCCGTGTCGTCCCCAGTACAAACAACCATCTTGAGCCAACATGGCGAATTACGGATGCGGGTGCGGATGATGAAGATGGGAGTGGGAATGGGCATGAGGAGGAGGAGAGGAGGAGAGGATGAGGGTGAGAATAAGGACGAGGAGAGGAGGAGAAGCAGGAGGAGGAGGACGACGATCACGAGACGCGACGTGCGCCGAGGTCCGCAGCCGATCAGGATGATGAGGAGGGACAGGACAATGGCACCGAGGACGAGGACGAGGGTGGGCAGGGCGAGGAAGAAGTCGAGGGAGCACTGCCCCCTCGAAGCCGCCCCCGCTCCTCGACGACGCGTCGCTCCTCGGCGAGGCGGGCTTCCTCGGCCTGGCGGGCCTCCTCCTGCCGGGCGGGTGATGGAAGAACAGACGTCAAATCCTTGACTTGGCTCCTTGCGCTCCGTCAGAAATGCTGAAGTGCAGGACGACCGAAAGCCGCGGCCGTGCGCTCGGCATGCACGGCTAGTGGGAGCTGCGACCTTGCACACGTACACACACATACGCAGGCGCCAAAGCCCGAGATGGTTCCCTAGACTGCCCTACGACTGCTCTGAGCAACCATCCGCTGGCATTGTTTTTTGGTCGAACCAAAAAATACTGTTGGAGCTTCCCGAAAAATCCGCCTGGCCCCTTGGGGGCGCAAGGCTGCGAAGCCCCTGCTGGACTGATCTCCCCCTCGTCCCCCTCCCTCCTCCTCCTCCTCCTCCTCCTCCTCCTCCTCCTCCTCCTCCTCCTCCTCCTCCTCCTCCTCCTCGTGTTTTTTTGTTCACAACGTCGACCCCTGGAGACCTGGACCCCTTCCCTGGGACCGGCTTTTCATCCTGAGTCGTTTTGTTGACGCTCCCGAGGCCCGGTAAGGGCCCCCCCAGAGGCCGAAAATAGCGAAAAACCTTCCGTCGCCCACCACGCGAGGGAGTCTGGGCCCTTGCCCTGCAGTGACCCCCGCCTCCTGCGCCCCGACCGCCGCCGCTCTGCTTCCGCCAGCCGTCCACCGCCTGCCGCCGAGGGCCAGGCCGTGCTCGGCGGGCGAGGCCCTGGAGCGCTCCAGGGGCGCCGACCGCCCGTGCCCTCGAGGAGGCTCCCCAGACATGATGGCGTCGGAAAAAAATCAGGGCGGGCGGTTTTGGGGTATTTTCGCCCTCTAGAGGTCCTCGCCGGACCTCGGGACCGTCAAAAAACGACTCAGGACGAAAAACCGGTCCCGGGGAGAGGGTCGGGACTTGCGGGGACGCCGTCCTGAAAAAATCAGGACGTCGCATGTCTGGGTCCCAGGCGACTGCGTGCACAGCCGAAGGCCACGAGAGCGCAGGCCCCGAGCCCGAGCCCTCCCGCGGGAGGCCCGTGGCCCCGCGGCGGCGCCCCCCCGAGCGAGAGGAGCAAACCTCGAGCTGCAGGAGGCCCGAGCACGCAGAGCGCCCGGGGGCCTCGCACGGAGCTGGGGACTGCGACGGAGCACTCGTGCCCAGCCGCAGTGCCCCCCCCCTGGGGGGCCATCCGCCGCTGCCGCCGCCGCAGGTCGAGCGCCGGCACCGTGTGCAGGGCACGAGCGCCGTGTTTTTGTTGTTCCTGCTGCGGCAGCTCTGCCGCCAACACGCCCGGAGCAGGGCGGGTGGGGACAGAACGGCGGCTCGCACAGCGGTCCCCGGACCCCTCCCTGCAGGGCTCAGACGCACCGGCTTTCCGAGCTGCGCCCGGCTGTGGCGAGGAGGGCCCCCCCCGATGGCCAACCACTGCTGCTCCACGCGCCCTCGAGGGGCCCCTTCGCTGGGCTGTCGGGTCAAAACTCGGGCCCCGGGCCCACGTGCAAAACGATCCGGGCTCCCCCGGAGCGCCCTGCGGCGAGGCGCAGCTGCTGGAACGCGCCCCGAGGCTGGAAAACCGCCGAGGACCCACGAAAGCGCTCGCAGACAAGAGGAGGAGGAGGAGGAGGAGGAGGAGGAGGAGGAGGAGGAGGAGGAGGACGAGGACGAGGACGAGGACGAGGACGAGGACGACGAGCAGCCCGCGGCCCCCCCCCATTGGCCAGGCGCGTCTCCTCCGCGCGGCGCGCCTCCTCGGCGAGGCGGGTCCGCTCGGCCTCGGCGGCCTCCTCGGCGAGGCGCGCCTCCTCTTCGAGGCGCTCCCGCTCGAGGCGCTCCCGCTCGAGGCGCGCCTCCTCCTCCGCTTGGCGGGCCCGCTCCGCCGCCTCGGCGGCGCGGCGCTCCTCGGCGAGGCGCTCGGCCTCCACGCGGGCCTCCTCCGCGAGGCGGGCCTCCTCCGCCAGGCGGGCGCGCTCCGCCTCCTCGGCTCGCCGCTGCTCCTCGGCGGCGCGCGCAGCCTCCGCCGCCCGCGCCTCCTCGGCCTTTTTCTTCTCGGCCTCCTCGGCCTGCCGCCGCTGCTCGGCCTCCTCCTCGGCCTTCTTCTTCTCGGCGGCCCTGCGGGCCTCGTTGATCAGCCTGGCCTCCTCGACCTTGCGCGCCTCCTCCGCCCTCTTGCGGGCCTCCTCCTCGGCCCTGCGGGCCTCCTCGGCCAGCCGCGCCTTCTTCTTCTCCTCGGCCTCCTGCGCGGCCTTGAGGGCGCCGCCGGACACGCCCCACTTGGAGCCCTTCTGCCGCTCCCGCTCGAGCCGCTCCTCCTCGATCCTGTCGAGCTCCGCCTGCTTCTCGGCCTCCTCGGCGCGGCGCCTCTCCTCCTCGGCACGGCGCTCCTCGGCGAGGCGCGCCTCCTCCTCGGCGCGGCGCGCTTCTTCCTCGGCGCGGCGCTCCGCTGCCCGCTCCTCCTCGGCGCGGCGTTCCTCCGCCAGGCGGGCCTCCTCCTCGGCCTGCCGGGCCTCCTCGGCCTTCCTCTTCTCCTCCGCCAGCCGCGCCTGGGGAATAGGGCCGATTACAACCACTTCGGGCCGTTCACGAACTACCTCGGGCGGATAATAGCCACAGAAAAGGAGCCGATCGCAACGCTATTCATTCAGATACTACTCCTACAAGACGGACACCAGATTACAATCTCTGTAAGGCATCTGAAGGGCCTCTGGAGCGCCTCCGAAGAGTTTCTGAGGCGCCTCTGGTGAGCTTCTGAAGCGCCTCTGAAGAGCCTCTGAAGAGCCTCCGAAGCGCTTCTGAAGATCCTTCTAAGCGCCTCTGAAGAGCCTCTGAAACGCCTTTGGAGAGCCTCTGGATGACCTCCGAAGCGCCTCTGAAGCGCCTCTGAAGAGCCTCTGAAGGGCCTCCGGAGCGCCTCTGAAGCGCCTCTGAAGCGCCTCTGAAACGCCTATAAGGAGCTTTCGCCGATTTTGGTCGCACGCTGGATTCCCGGGTTCCCCGTTCCGGGTTCCCGAGCCCGTTTATTGGTTCCCGGGTTCCCAGGTTCCTGGTTCCGGATTCCGGGCCGATTTCGGTGGGCGGCGGGGTTCCCAGGTTTCTGGATTCCTGGTCGATATTCTTATCGCTCGGTCTCGCCGTGGATCCCATTACCCATTTCTCTATCGATCTCATTATCGATCTCACAATAGATCCCACTATCGGTCTCACGGTCGACCTTACAGTCGTCTTATTTATCGATCCCACTATCGATCTCATACTCGATCTCACTATCCACACTATTAAATTTCAACCCTTCCACTGATTGGGTCTTATCTCCGGTGAAATTTTTACGACTGCGACTACTACGACTACGAGTACCACTACCAATACTACTACTACTACTACTACTACTACTACTACTACTACTACTACTACTACTACTACTACTACTACTACTACTCTACTACTACTACTACTACTAACTACTACTACTACTACTACGACTAATACTATTACTACTACTACTTCTTGTACTACTACTACTACTACTACTACTACTACTACTCAACTACTACGACTACGACTACGACTACGACTACGACTACGACTACGACTACGACTACGACTACGACTACGAAAACGACTACGACTACGACTACTAATACTACACTACTACTACCACCAGTACTAATACTACTACTACTACTCCTACTACTACTACTACTACTACGACTACTACTACTACTACTACGACTGCTACTACTACTACTACTACTTACAAACGGACAAGCCGACCGACGACGACGACGACGACGACGACGACGACGCCGATACGACGACGACGACGACGACGACGACGACGACCGACGACGACGAACGATGAATACTACTACTACTACCACCACCACTACTACTACTACACTACTACTACTACTACTACTACTTACTACTACTACTACTACTACTACTACGACTACTACTACTACTACTTACTACTACTACTATACTACTACTACTACTACTACTACTACTACTACTACTACTACTACTACTACTACTACTACTACTACTACTACTACTACTACTACTACTACTACTACTACTACTACTACTACTACTACTACTACTACTACTACTACTACTACTACTACTACTACTACTACTACTACTACTACTACTACTACTACTACTACTACTACTACTACTACTACTACTACTACTACTACTACTACTACTACTACTACTACTACTACTACTACTGCTGCTACTACTACTACTACTCGTGGTCTGCGATCGGCCCGATCGCAGCCGCTTTGTCAAAGTTCCACAGGTGAGCTTAAGGCAATCCACTCATTCCAGAAGCTCTCTTGGAGAGACTTTGCTGATCAAATTAATGTGCATGCGACCCCAAAGCATCGCAACCACTTCGGCCCGATCGCAACTGGTCGTGATCCGCCCCAACCGTTTGCGATCTGGCCGAAGTGGTTGCGATCAGCCCAGGTCGAGCCGCGCCTGCTCCGCCTTCTCGGCCTCCTCCTGCCTCTTCCTGGTCTCCGCCAGGCGGGCATCTTCCGCTCGGCGGAGCTTCTCGGCCTCCTCGGCCTGCCGCCGCTGCTCGGCCTCCTCCTCGGCCTTCTTCTTCTCGGCGGCCCTGCGGGCCTCGTTGATCAGCCTGGCCTCCTCGACCTTGCGCGCCTCCTCCCTCTTCCTGCGGGCCTCCTCCTCGGCCTTGCGCGCCTCCTCGGCCAGCCGCGCCTTCCTCTTCTCCTCGGCCCCCTCCGCGGCCTTGAGGGCGCCGCCGAAAATCCCCCACCTGGAGCCTTTGAGCCGTTCCTGCTCGATCCTGTCGAGCTCCGCCTGCCGCTCGGCATCCTCGGCCTTGGCCTTCTCCTCCTCGGCCCGCCTCTCCTCGGCCAGCCGGGCGAGCTCCGCGTTGCGGTGCTCCGCCTCCCGCTCCTCCTCGGCGCGCCTCTCCTCCGCCCGGCGGGCCCTTTCCTCGGCCTGCCGGGCCTCCTCGGCCTTCCTCTTATCCTCTGCCAGCCGCGCCTGCTCCGCCCTCTCGGCCTCCTCCTGCCTCTTCCTGGCCTCCGCCAGGCGGGCCTCCTCCGCTCGGCGGAGCTTCTCGGCCTCCTCGGCCTGCCGCCGCTGCTCGGCCTCCTCCTCGGCCTTCTTCTTCTCGGCGGCCCTGCGGGCCTCGTTGATCAGCCTGGCCTCCTCGACCTTGCGCGCCTCCTCCGCCCTCCTGCGGGCCTCCTCCTCGGCCCTGCGGGCCTCCTCGGCCAGCCGCGCCTTTTTCTTCTCCTCGGCCTCCTGCGCGGCCTTGAGGGCGCCGCCGGACACGCCCCACTTGGAGCCCTTCTGCCGCTCCCGCTCGAGCCGCTCCTCCTCGATCCTGTCGAGCTCCGCCTGCTTCTCGGCCTCCTCGGCGCGGCGCCTCTCCTCCTCGGCACGGCGCTCCTCGGCGAGGCGCGCCTCCTCCTGGGCGCGGCGCGCCGCCGCCTTCTCCGCCTCGGCGCGGCGTTCCGCTGCCCGCTCCTCCTCGGCGCGGCGCTCCTCCGCCAGGCGGGCTTCCTCCTCGGCCTGCCGGGCCTCCTCGGCCTTCCTCTTCTCCTCCGCCAGCCGCGCCCGCTCCGCCCGCTGGGCCTCCTCCTGCCGCTCTTGCTCCTCCCTGGCCTCTGCCTTCGCCTTCTCCTCCGCCAGGCGCGCCGCCTCCGCCGCCCTGCGGGCCTCCTCGGCGGCCCGCTCCGCCGCCCTGCGGGCCTCCTCGGCGGCACGTTCCTCGGCCTTGCGGGCCTCCGCTGCCCTCTTGGCCTCCTCCGCCCTGCGGGCCTCCTCGGCCCGGCGCGCCTCCTCCGCCGCGCGCGCCTCCTCGGCCTTGCGTCGGCGGAGGCGGGGGGGGGGGGGCGGGCGCGGGCGGCGGCGCGCGCTCGGTGGCGGCGTGGGCGCGGAGGGCATCGCGGCGGCGGCAGAGGGCCGTCGGAGGGCGCGGGGCGGGAGGCGGGAGGTGCGGCAGGAGGCAGGGGGTGGGCGGCAGCAGGCAGCGAGCAAGGAAGGGCACGGGGCGGGGAGAAGGGCGGGAGGGGAGGCAGGAGGCGCGAGCGGGGGGGGGGGCGCGGGAGACAGGAGGCGGGAGCGAGCAGGGCGGCCCGGCGCGAGGGGAAGCACGAGGCAGCAGGAAACGCACGGCAAATCTACACAGCAGTTTGTCGGGCACTGTCGTACACGTCTCTTGGCGCCGTATCAAGCTGCTCATTTCCAGCCCTGCCTGGGTGGGGGGGGGGCCGTCGATCCAATGCGGTCCCGCGTCCGACGACCTGGCCGCGCGCGCTAGTTTGGCGCCGACTGCTCTACTTGCTCCGCCTTGTCGCTGCGCGCGAGGCCGCGACCGCTAAACACACACACACACACACACACACACATTCCACACACACACACACACACACACTCTACACACACTCCACACACACACACCACACACACACACACACACTCCACACACACACACACACACTTACACACGCACACACACACACACACACACACACACACACACACACACGCACGCGCACACACACACACACACACACACACACACACACACACACGCACGCACGCGCACGCACGCACGCACGCACGCACGCACGCACGCACGCACGCACGCACGCACGCACGCTAGCGTCGAGCGCACGCGCGGAGGACCGCGCGCACACCCCAGGGGCTGCGGAGAGCCACGGACGAGGGGAGAGAGCTCGGGCCCCCGGGGGCGGCACCGGCGGCGCCGGGGCGGCAGGGCGCGCGGGCAGGCGCGGGCGAGCGGCGGGGCAGCAGCAACCCAGGCACCCGGCTGCTCCAATTTTTTCTCGAGGCCTGGGCCCCGGAGGGTGGGACCACCTTCCCAGGGCCGGTCTTGCCCCCCGGGTCGTTCTCCATCGCTCCCGAGGCCCGGCGTGGAGCCCTCGACGCCGAAGACGCGCAAAAAAACAACAATCAAACAACAACAACAACAACAACAACAACAACAACAACAACAACAACAACAACAACAACAACAACAATCACTTTACCCGAACGCTCAGTGTTCTCACCAGTGCCAGGGTTTTCATGCGACGCCAGCCAATACCCCCACTTTGTGGGGGGGCAGTGCAAGCTCTACCAAATATCCACACGACTCTTCGCCACCACCCACACCCAGCTTCCCGCCCTATGACGTTCGGACACTTCACTTCGTGGCCTGCGGACGACCGTGGCTACTACACTGGCGTGGAGTACACACCCACAGAAGTTGTTAAGCCTACGTTCGTACACCCACAGAAGTTGTTAAGCCTTGTTAACCCACAGAAGTTGTTAAGCCTTCCACAGAACATCTGTTGCATATGATGCATATGGTACATGATACACATGATACACATGATACGTACTCACAAGATAGTTGATCACATCTTTAGGGCAAATTCCTGAGGGATGTGGGAATACACAAGAGAGAGAGGATATGGTTGTCCCGATGGTTGTCTCGATGGTTGTCCCGATGGTTGTCCTGATGGTTGTGGTTGTCCCGATCGTTGTCCCGATGATTGTCCCGATGGTTGTCCTGATGGTTGTGCTTGTCCCGATCGTTGTCCCGATGACTGTCCCGATGATTGCCCCGATGGTTGTCCCGATGGTTGTTCCGATGGTTGTCCCGATGGTTGCCCCGATGGTTGTGAGCGATGCCGGATCCTCACGCCCCCCGCCGGAGGAGGAGGAGGATGAGGAGCAGGACAAGGAGGAAAGGAGAGAAGAGAGAACGGAAGGAGGGGCGGGAACGGCGCTTGCACGCCCACCCACCGTCTTTTCCCCGCCGCGGCTCTAAAGAGACGAGTTCGTGTGCTCGTCATCTTCTGGCATACGCCCGTCCCTGATGGCACGGATGGGGCGCAATGCTGCCAGCTGGGCTCCTGGCAGAAATACATCAGGGGCCAAGTGTCCAAGCATGGTGCCGATACGCCTCCTCACGGATACATCGCCCGTGCGTGCGAGGGGCGCCAATGCCGCCAGGACGCCCTGGACATGCGCCGGCATACGCAGATCCACCTGGTAATCCATGACATTGCCATACTGGGACTGCCCGCAAGAACGCCATACTGGCATGTGCCACCAATGGTCCTGCTTCGGGAAATAGGTGGTACCATCGTTGACGTCGTGGGAGGCATTCCACAGAGCCATAGATTGCGGCTCAATACCCATGGGTCCCGTGTGTGTTGCCACAAATCGCCATGGAGCCATGGATTGCGGCATTCCACAGAGCCATGGATTGCGGTCCCAATCGCCCCTGGCGACGGCCTGGGCGGATGAAGCCGCCGCCTGCACTGAGGAGCTCACCGACGCATACACATCGCACCACCGTCTCAACACCCCGTGGGACACCAAGACAGCTTTCCGTCGCATACGCAACGCGGCATGCAACGCGTGGCACTTCAGCCCTGGATATACCGCGCGCATGTGGTCACCAAGTGCCGCGTCGAGCTTTTCAGCCGTGTCGTACTGCAAAGGTCCAGAGTCAGTGTGATACTTCACGCACCATTGCCTCAAAACCATGCCGCTGACAGCAGCGGGAGGATCGCTCTCCGAGAGAAGCTGCGAGAGGACCTCCGCGGCGGCCTCATCGGCGAAGCTCTCCCGATACTGATTGAGTCGAAGACGCTGGCCTATACAGTCCTCCACAGCTTGGGCAGTGTTCAATGCTCCCTTGTCGCCCCACTCCGTGCTGAGCCACTTCTGGCATGCCCTGGCGTCAGCAGATACAGATAAATGTCCCAGGAGCCACTGCTTCAACACGGCCCCGTCAGTAGTCCCCTCGGGCATGTCTTTGCGAATACGTTCTCCATACCAGGTCTCCAGATGGCCAGCGTTCTGCACTTTGACAAGCGTCTCTTTGGAAGAATACTGCAGTAGCCACATCTTTGCGACCTGATCTGTCACATACAGTGGTGGATCCAACTGTCGGAGCGCCCCGCATAATTTGAAAGCTGTATTATACTCGATGCCCAGGTGGCGGATGGCAGAACCGTGCTGCTCCTCCAGCTCCTGGGCGCTAGAAATACTAACCTTGCCAGGCACAACCCGATACTTGCCCCACCAAGTCTTGCACGCCTGGTGACTGACCTGGATACCCTTTGCAACGAGCGCCTGATGCAAATAATACGGGCTCTCGCAGTCGGCCAAGGGAGGCCGCGACAGCTCCGGGCCATACTGCTCGTCAAGGGCTTTCGCCGTCAAAGCCATGGACCATCCAAGAACACAGGCGATACCTGATCCGAGATGGCTACGGATGTGCCAGTGATCAGTCGGAGGCTTCCTGGGGCCGCTTGGGGTCCTCTTGGGGAAGGGGGGAAGCCTCCTGGCGCCGCTTGGGGTCCTCTTGAGGGGCTTTGGGGGGCTTCTTGGAAGCATCTTGGGGCCTCTTGGGGGCTTATTGGGTCCTCACGGCGGGCTCTTGGGGCCTCTTGAAGGCCTCCTGGGGCAACCTATGGCGCAACCAGTAGGGGGACGTTTTATTCTCGGCGGCCGAGGGCGCAACCTATGGCGCAACCAATAGGGGGACGTTTTATTCTCGGCGGCCGAGGGCGCAACCTATGGCGCAACCGCAAGGGATTGTGGCCCCTGGCAGGCGCGCGAACCCCGTTGCAAGAGCGTGCGAAAGTAGCTCGCGCGAGCTCATGTAACATAAATGTTGGAAAACCATTGGTTTTTTTAGGATTCGGACAGCGCGCGCGGGTGGAAATTTTGAAAAGTCGTGCAGGTGTTTTTCGAGGACCTACGGTGCGATTCGTGTGATTTTATGATGCGCGGTGCTAAAATTCTTAAGAAGCCCAATGGTTTTTGGAGATTTCGGCGTGCGCGCGCGAAGAAAAAACGAATGTGTCCCGCATGGTATTATTTGACAGGGATGATGGCCCTGGCAGGTGCGCAACCGTTGTCGCAGAAGTTCGAAAAAGTTGCTCGCAAAAGCCCGTTTGACAGAAATGTTTAAAAAGTGTTGGGTTTCCTACGAATCCGCAAGAGCGCGCGGGATGAGATTTTGACAGTTTTTTGTTGAAAAACCATTGGTTTTTTGATGTTTTTATGTTAAAATCGCTGCGAACACTAAGGTTTTGGAAGGATTTCGTCTTGCGCGCGCGAATGTCCACTTTACCTTATTTTTTGCAAGGGATTCTTGAAATTTGATTATATTAGAACAAGAAATGTCATTTTCTATTGTTTTTTGCAAGGGAAAGCGGATTACAACAAAACAACCGGATCCTGTACACACCCTCTTTTCTGAGGCTTCCTCACGAAAATGATGAAAATGTAGCTGCGGCCTAGGCGGCGCAGGGGGGGCGCGCACCAGGGGGCCCAACAATAATTATTCTTTAGAATAAATAATGTTCAACAACAACAATCACTTTACCCGAACGCTCAGTGTTCTCACCAGTGCCAGGGTTTTCATGCGACGCCAGCCAATACCCCCACTTTGTGGGGGGGCAGTGCAAGCTCTACCAAATATCCAACACGACTCTTCGCCACCACCCACACCCAGCTTCCCGCCCTATGACGTTCGGACACTTCACTTCGTGGCCTGCGGACGACCGTGGCTACTACACTGGCGTGGAGTACACACCCACAGAAGTTGTTAAGCCTACGTTCGTACACCCACAGAAGTTGTTAAGCCTTGTTAACCCACAGAAGTTGTTAAGCCTTCCACAGAACATCTGTTGCATATGATGCATATGGTACATGATACACATGATACACATGATACGTACTCACAAGATAGTTGATCACATCTTTAAGGCAAATTCCTGAGGGATGTGGGAATACACAAGAGAGAGAGGATATGGTTGTTCCGATGGTTG